CCGGGCAACTATCCCGTTACCATAAGCTGTTATCCGCGATCCCGCGCGACATGCTTATCAACTTCAGGGATATTTACATGAATATCCCCGCGCACAACCCGTACGACGTGCTCAAAGAAGCACTTCTTCGTCGTATGGCAGTTTCCGAAGAGAAACGCATCCAGCTCCTCCTGTCAGGGATCCAATTGGGGAACCTCAAACCGTCCCGCTCCGTCCGCTCCCATATATCCTTTATGCAATTCATCTAGTACCGTCTTCCATAGTGGCGGTGGAATTACCCATCGATCGTCGCGCGACACAATACACTATCCAATTGCACTGAGAACTCTTCTCGGTGAAAAAAGAATTGAGGATACTTTCTCTCTACCTCTGGTGACCACCGTTTCTTGATCACTGAGAATATGGTCGAGTAGTACTGCTTGGTAGGGTTGTGTTAAGAGTACGGAGACACTGGTAATGCTAGACAGATAAAATGACACTATTCGGCCTCTGAAAATCGTGAGCAGCGTGAGAGGAAATCAGCCTGCGGGATTGTCTTTCCTGGACGGCGTTGGATGCCGTAGTTGTATGCAGCTACAGCCATGCTCCACCTCTGCAGCATAGTAGTAGTGGACTTCGCGATGGATTTGTTGGGGTTGAACAAGAACTGTAGCGCTTGGTGATCAGTGTTGATGGTAAACCGCTATCCGAAAAGGTACTTGTGCAATCGTCGAACGGCCCAAAATACAGCCAACGCTTCTTTTTGAGTCTGTGATTAACCCCTTTGAGCCTCATTGAGTAGACGTGAAATGCAGATCGCTGGGCATCCTTCTTGTTCTAATTAAACACCGATCCTGACGTCGGACGCATCGGTGATTTGTATGGTAGGTTTTGATGGTGAAAACGGGGCCAAAACAGGACGATCAGTAATGCAGCGAATTAAACACCATAAGATATCTTCACACTCCACCGACCACTACCAAGCGTCTGAACATTGAGCACGGAAAGGCGACTGCTCCCTTATAGCAAAGTTCGGGATAAATCGGGAATAGTACTGTAGGCATCCCATCACAGATCTCAAGTGCGTTTGATCCTTTGGAGGTTCGATGTTAATCAATCGGTTTTCATACGCAGATAGACTGAAGTCACTGGGATTATATTCCAATCATTACCGGCGCATCAGAGGAGATATGATTATGGTGTACCAAATAATGCAAAACCCAAGCCATCCGTGTTGCCCGCTTTTGAAATTATCACCCAACGTTCATCTTAGAGGACACCCATTTAAACTAGTGGTCTCAAAATGCCACTTGGAATGCCGGCGTCAGTCATTCTCAGTCAGAGTGTGTTCGATCTGGAACTCTCTACCATCCTACGTCGTCTGCGCTCCAAGCATTGAGTCTTTCAAACTGAGGCTCGATGAAACACTAGCACATCTTACGTTCCAACATAAGTGAAGCTGCGTAAAGCAGTGGAAAACGCACATATCACGTGGCATTTTACAAAAAGATTAGTATGTATCACTGTTTCCTAATCCACCGCACGAACCTATGGGACCAGAAAAGCATGAGCTTGTAAGTTATTCCCATAATAAATCTTTGAATGGTTTGAAATGTGTCGGATCAGGACGGTATCCACGGGAGTCAACTGTGAATCCTAGAAACTCCAACTCACTTACACCAAACACATTTGGACGGCTTGATAGCCACGTTCCTGGCGGCGAATCGTTCCAGTAGCTGCGTAAGACGGGCATCGTGTTCTTTCTTATTAAGGCCGAAAATGAGGACGTCATCTTGATTTGCAAGCACACCGTCGAATCTTTTGATTACACTGACTATTGCCGATTGAAAGAGGCCAGACGACACGTGCAATCCGAAAGGGAGAAAATTGTACTGGTACATTCCCCACGTCGTGTTGATTGTTGTAAAGTAGCGAGATTCGACATCGAGTGGAATCTGTAGGTATGCGTCCGCCAAATTGATCTTGGAAAAATACTTTCAACCATGCAATGACTTCATGAAATCCTCTGGCTCTATGGTGGTCGCTGCACATCTCCGCAATCGGGGATTCAAGGTCAGTCGATAGCCTCCATCGATTCGTGTTGTTCGACCATCACTTTTCATCGCGACGACAATCGGGGTCGCCCAGGCACTGGATTCAACTTTGCTTATCACACCATTCTGTTCCATTTTCTGTAACGCTTTCAGGACACTTTCCCGTTGACCGTATGGGGAACGTGTCGTTTTAGGAAAATAGGTTCACCGTCCACTTCCAACTTTACCGACGGTACCTTCATGCCACCAACGTTACCGGAACACTGTACAATCAAATATTGAAGATGTGATGTGATTGGCTTATCGCTGTTGGTATGTAGTGTGATTGTAGCCGCATTACTCGCAGGCCCAGATTAAACGGACTGTGGGCTAATATCAAAAATCGGATTGGGATTGACACACCGGATTCAGATTGAACGCACAACATCGTTTCGCCAAGTAATTGCAATTGATGGCCAGTAACCCCATGAATGCGCAGAGAAGTCGGGGCTGGAACAGCATTAGGACAAATCGCAGTGAGTGCTGATTTCGGTAGGATAGATTTGCTGCTTCCTGTGTCCATGATGAATCAATGCTCCGCACCGGACTCGACCCCCAGTTGGGCGAACACGAACTGGCTGTTAGGTTCAGTGGTCTGCAGCGTGTGGATTGGGTTTGAATTCTTATCTGCCGTTGAGATATGAGAATCGACGAGGTTGCACTTGGGCATTCGGCATACCTTTCGGATATGGCCCATCTTACCACATGCATGGCAATTTGCATTACGGAGTCGACAAGTCGAACGAAGATGGTATTCACCACATGAAAAGCAGCTATTGGTCTCAGCCTTCGATTGTATTCGGCTTTAACTGGGTACTTGAGGAACCTGGGGTGAATTATGAACATTCGGTGCGTCATGTAATGGTTTTGTTGATTGCTGATGGAATAACACAGGAGTATCCGCATTTGTGGCAGCAGACAAATTATCACTTTGATCACAGATTTTTCGAGCCTCGGCAAACGAGATGTCTTTCTTTTCCAACATCTTACGTTGTAATGAGATGTTGTGGATTCCAGAAATGAGACGATCATAAAAATATGTTCTTCCAATCAACCACCATAGTTGCATTTTGACGTCTGTTTACCCAACTGAAGGATGAATCGACGACACGGCATGTTGGCAGCTCTGATCATTGAGTTGAATTTGGCCCGTTCAATGGCCTGAAAATTCACTTGGCGAATGTTGTCCAGCAATAGGATTTTTAACTTTCCGAATGGTAATTCAGCAAGAACAATCTGGAACGCGAGATTCTTCAACAGGGAATACAGCTCTCAGACGCCCAATGTCAAAAATAGGACCGATTGATTTTGCTTTCCTCCTTTTCAGATGCTGCACCACAATTCGAAGTGTTCTACCCACTCCTCGGTTTCCGATGTGCTTCCGTGGAGGTTCAATTGTTCAGTGACAGGAATCTCCATTGCACGACGCCAAATTGTGAT